GGGCCGGGCCTTGCCCCCCGCGGGCCCCCGCGCGCCGTCCCGGCCCGGCTCCACCACAAGCGGCCGGTCCAGGTGCGTCTTCATGTCGGGCCGCAGGTGGCGGGAGGTGGCGAAGCGCAGCCGCTCCTCGGCGTCCATCTCGCTGTACAGCGCCTCGCAGCTGGCCCGTAGGTTCTGCAGCCGCAGTTGGCTGGCCCGCTGCTCCCACACCGAGCGCGCCTTGGCCGAGTTCTGATGCCTGCTGTGGGGAGACCCGCGTGAGACGCGCCCCCAAGCCGCCCCCCACCTCTCTGCCTCGCAGGGGAAGCCACGGATGGACACACAGCGATGGAGAGATGGCAGAGGGCGCAGTGTGGGGGGCAGAGGGGCGGCAGGAGCCCTGGCAACCCCAGCAGAGTCGAGGGGCAGAGTTGGCGGCCGATACCCAGGGAAACAGGCTTCATCCCTGCCCCCCCGGGGGGCGCCCGCAGATGGTGAGAGCCTCACCTGGGGGTGGGGGCTCAAGGCCGGGGGCCCGGGGTGCAGAGCAGTGGGAATGACAGGCACCAGCATGAGGTGGCAGACAGGCTTCCCGGGCAGGTGGGCTGCCCGCCAGGAAGGCCAGAATGGGGCGAGGAGGGGGGCAACGTCCAAATGGAGCAGGACTGAGGAGGCAGGAAGCAGGCTGCCCGAGGAGGGGCTTCTCCATCTCCACCTCCAGGAGGGGAGCCACCGGCCAGAGGAAGACGGGGTGTCTGAGAGGGAACCCGAGAAGAGGCGGGTCGTCAGGAGCGGAGGGGACAGTTACCCAGGGAGCGAGGGGCCCCGGGGGGCGGCTGGCCCTCACGGGAGTCAGGCGGGGACTCTCCCTGCGGTGGTCGGCCCCATCTGGGCAGCTGCCACTCAGCTCAGTGATCATTTGCTGAATGGCCAGGAGCCCAGCAGGCAGGTCTGCGGCTGGACACTACGTCCTGTGGTCAGCAGTGCCCTCCTCTCTCCTGGCTCCACGGGGGCTGAGAGCCTTCCGGCGCCAGAAGTGGCCTGTGGTCCAGGCTCAGCCCTCACTAGACAGGCTTTAAAGGCCTTGACCGCCCCCCAAGCTCACCCACACGGTCACAGGTGGATTCCACAGCCCAGGGTGCGTGGAAGCCCTTTGCATTCTGGGATATTTGCTGAACAAGACCCCAGAGTTGGCGAGCCGGCACCACCTCCTCAGAGGCCAGCCTCGTCCTGCAGCCTCTGGAGGTCTCGGGACCACTGTGGGGGGGCAGCAGTGGCAGCACGAGGACAAGGGTGGCTGTGACATCTGGGCCAGCGGCCGCCCCCTCCAGCCCTCACAACCACCTCAGGGACTGGGTGCTGCTCTTGCCCCCATGTCACACTGAGCACAGAGGACGTGACTCACACAGGGTCCACAGCGAGTCACTGACGGAGCCAGGATCGGACGCGTGCAAGGGCAAGAGGAACAAAGTGTCTAAAGGAGACGCGAGGCCTCCGCCAGACTCCAGCTGCACTGACCGCACAGCCTAGAGCCACAACCTGGGGGACTTGGGGGCCCAGGCGGGACAGGTCTCCACCCCCCGGCTCTGAGCCCCAGCCACTGAGCACCACGCTGAGTCCTGCCCCCAGGGTGGGGAGCCATTTCCAGGGAAGCACCTTGAAAGTATGAGAGCAGAAGAGCCTGATTCCTGTCCTTGGGGGCCCAGACAGGGGGCAGGCAGGGCAACGTGTAGGGGACAGCGGTCAGCTTCTCTGACCACCTGCTGACTGGTGGTCAGCACACCTTCGGCTGCCACCCCAGGCCCTGACCTGCTGCCCCGTACCCAAGGTCACCTGGCAACAGACCCACCTTTTCTCTTTCCTTGGCTTCAACCCAGAGCCACGGGGGACCTACCCGTCCCCGGCTGACACCAAAACAAAGGGCCCAACTCTGAACTATGCCGAACCCTGTGAAGTGGACAGCAGCCACCAGGGGCCTTCCCCACTGGTGCAGGAACCCGTGAGGGCTGACGGCCGGCCACTGGTCAGGCTTCCCCATCAGCCCAGCAGGCCTAGATGGGCCTGGACTCGGAGCCATTAGGTGGCAGGTGGTGGCCTACTCAGACCCAGCCATGAGCCCTGGGGACCCGCCTGTCAGAACAGAAACAGGCAGGCAGTAAAGACGATGGGGACGTGGTAGCTGGTAGCTCAGGAGGAACAGGCTCTGCCCTCAGCCTTACCCTCAGACACAGCTCTTGTCTCACCCAGGAACCAGCTCAAGTCCACGGAGAGGCGGGGTGCCTGCTGGACTAGAGGCTGCGTGGGGTTGGCAGGCTCCCCTCATAACTTCCCAGGGGCGGCTCTACCAGCCCCGCTCCTGCTGGGTGGCTGCCTCTCCGGGCCTCACACCACCCGAGACTGTCTGCGCCTGCCCAGCACGCAGCGGCACTGCTGGCCGCCTCTCTGGACGTGTCTCTGCTTGTGTGCCCTGCTGGGGGGTGGCAGCCTGCCCCCACCTGCTTGCTGCTCTGTCTCTGCCCTGCCTGGCATGTGGCGCAGCGTGGCCAGCGCTCGCCTCTCACTCTCTGTGTCTCCACCGAGCTCCAAGAATGTGCGGGGGTGGGTCAGGCTCTGACCCACAGTGCAGTGTGGCAGAGGACTCTGACCCAGGCGAAAGCCTCGTCTAGAAGCACTCCCGAAGGGGGCACAGGGAAGGGCCCCCCCACCCCGGCCCCACCGCATCCAGCCCGGCTTGCAGGCAGAGCCCGGCTCAGCCGCCCTGACCCAGACGTGCCGACAGGACTCAGAAGGAGCCTCTGTGGCGAGGCCCTGCTTTGAGGTCTCCGTGCTGAGAAAGCCAGTCGTCCCTCAGTCACCCCCAGCTGTGACAATGTGAAGCAGCCCAGGTACAACAGCACTGGTACCTACGCCCGCATCTCATGCCGCCCTGGGAGTCAGCCGTTCAGGATCCAGCCTTCTTACCCCATGGACATCGGGGGCCCAACAGCCAGCAGGTCTGCGTGCTCGTGAGAGCACCGAGCCCAGCTCTGTGCTGGCCAAGTAAGAGGGGGCAGGGGTTCAGGGACGGCAGGAGCGCCCATCACCACCAGGACACGGAGAGGGCCCCTGGCCATCTCCAGGGACTTCTCACCTGCAGGAAGAAACCCCTGGGGAAGACTGGTGTCACCCCCAGCAGGGCCACCCTGGGGTTTCTACGGCTCTACCTCAGGCTTTGGCTGGTCTCCGGAAGCCTCACGAGCAGGCAGAAGTTCTGCTCTCGCGAGAACAAGGCTGCCTAAGGGTCCCAGAGACACCCCCTCCGCAGCAAGGCCAGGTGGGGCGGGAGGACCCCACGGATGTCCTGCGCCCCTGAGCAGTCCTCTACCTCATGGGAGCCACAAGGAGACACAGCCCCAGCGGCACCCAGTGGTGGCCACCTCAGGAGAAGCAGATCTGCTCAAGACACCAGAGTGACAGCACAGGGACAGACAGGCAGGAGGACAGAGCCCAGGAGGGAGAGGAGGAGGGGCTGAGCCCAGAGAGCCTGATCCCACGAGCAGGACGTGAGGGCGTCAGGAAGTGTGCCCGCCGTCCCCGGCCAGGCTGCGGGATGTGGGCCTGGAGCTGCCCCCGAAGCGAATGACTTGAAGTGGGGAGCAGAGTTAGGGGCGGACAGAAGGCGTTGGCGTGTAGTTATCACGAAGCCATAGATGGAAATTGCAGCAGAGAGACTCACGGTGAGGTTACGCTGGAGACAGATGAGCTGCGAGATACAGTACCTCGAGTTTGCTTTACAAAACTGCACATGCAAAAAACAAAACAGAACAAAAGTGAGAACACCAGAGAGTTCTAAGAGACGCTAGAACGGTGTGAGCCGCATCGGGTCAGGGCACAGGCTGCAGTGTGCATCCAGGCAGGAGGCCAGGGATGCTTCTATCAGAATGAGGCCAGCCGAGACCTCGGGGTAAAAGAGAAGTGGAGAGAGAAGGAGCACCCACAGAGCAGTGACCCCCACGGCTGGAGGGCAAGAGCGCCCTCTTGGGCCGTCCAGCGCAGCTCTGCGCACACTGCCCCGGGAAGGGCGGTGGGGCTGGAAGGAGCGGACACCCCTCGTCCGCCATTCTGATCAGCCCCCTCGCCCCCGCCGGACCTGGCGCCCCACTCCCCGGGCACCAGGGAGGGCTCACCCCTGTGGTCCCCTGGCCTTCGAGGCGGAGCAGAGCTGGCTGACACAGGGGCCCTACCTGCCTCTGGCCTCACCTGGGCCCTGCTTCCTGAACACCGTGCTCAGCCCCCAAGCCACCCTGGCCCCTCAGCTCCCCAGGCTCTAAGGCAGTGCCACCAGGTCACCACCAGCCCACCTTCCCTTGAGTGTCCTTCTGGAAGTGTCTTTCTGGAAGCTTTTCCAAAATCAATAGAGAGAAACCATAGGTCTCTTTACAGTCATGTCCCTCCCAGGGGAGGACCAGGTGGGTCCCCAGCGCTGCCTTCTTCAAGGTTGAGTCGACAAGCATTTGTGAGGAGCTCAGAGCAGCTCACCTGCCTGCGTGCAAACAGGCATGTGTGTACAAGAGTGAGCAAAGCGGTGTGCATGGCTGAGTGTGTGAGCTTGTGAATGAGCTTGTGAGCTGGTGAGAGTGTGACTGAGACTGTGAACATTAAGAGAACAAGGATCAGAGCAAGCGTGTGTGAGTGTGAACCCACGTGTGGGAGGGGCCGTGGGCACCGGCACTTGTGAGTCCCAGTGACGTCGAGGCCGACACAGCCGAGAGCCAGAAGGGCCGCATCAGCCTGAGTGTCCTTCCCTCCCAGGAGGCTGAGGGGACTGTCCCCTGAGGCCAAGGACACTGGAGCCCCAGCGGCTCTAGGGGACTCGGGCGGCCCTCTGTGGAGGGTCCATCACAGAGCCTCCGTCCGCTGGGGCACGGCCCATGGAGCCACTCAAACACCACGGACATGAAAGGCGCCCTGAACATCAGAGGCTCACAGCGCACGTCTCAGCCAGGCCCCCGTCTCACAGACCACACAGCGCCGCCACGGGAGCAGGTCAGAGCGGGGTCCCTCGGAGCCTCTCGTACCACCTCAGAGGCTCGGGCAGAGAAGCGAACACGGAGAGGCTGCTGCTGCCAGCAGAGCAGGGAACCGTCGGGGCAGACAGGACAGACAGGCGCTGGAGCACAGCCCCTGCCCGCAGATGTCTCAGCTCAATGGAGGAAAGCAAACAACCACGCACAGTGGTCCTCACACCCACCGCCCTCCGCACCTGGGAGTCACGTCAGACCCACTGTGCATGCAGCGGAGATGGGCTGAGGACGAGGGCCAAAGCCGCGTCCCGGGGGAGGCCGCGGGACCCACAGCTGGCCCAAGAGGGGGACGCAAGGGTCAATGCCTGGACATACCCCAGGTTGGCCGTGACAGGGATGGGCCAGCACTGAGCTCAGGGCCTGCTGTGAGGGAGAGCACCAAGTGTCCCCCAGGCCCCGGGGATGCAGGTCTACAGCCTGCTTCCTGCACATAAGCGTCCCAAACGGGGACGGGGGCGGACAGAGAGAAAGGACATCCAGACTTCCCTCTCTGGTGTCCTGACAAGCTCCCCGTGGCTGTGCTGAGGGCCCCTCCCCACTTCGGTCCCAGCCCAGGTGGGAGTGGACACCCTGCCGCACATCCCCAAGGAATGGGCAGCCCTGGGCAGCAGCAGGGGACACAGGACACCACGCTCCCCTCCGGAACAGCAGGAAGGCAAAAGTTACACAGAAACTCCACAGGGCCCACGTGAATGAATGGGTCAGTCACCAACCACGTCCTCTATGCAGCCCGCCAGCAGCTTACGCAGCTCAGGGGGTAACCGGGCCACAGCAAGCCCAGGACCAAGCAGACCGAGCAGGTGCACTGGCCAGACAACAGAACTCCAGAACCACTGGGCACTGAGCCCCCGGCGGCTGTGCCCCGCCTGGCTCCTTGCAGGCCCCCTGCAGCCCCGCCTGGACTCCCAGGGCCTGGGGCCTCCCTTTGCTTCTCCCCCAAAGGCCAGCACCTCTGCTCACCTAGAGACAGTCCTCTGCGAGCATCCTCCGAGAGCACAGGCCACGGCCCTGGGACGCCCAGGCGAGAATGAGGCTGCCAAAGATGCACCCTCACCCGTGCGTGTACACACTCCCCCTCCCACAAATGCATCCACGTGCCAGCGCACTCTCAGCACCAGTGGCTGTGTGACCGCAGACGGGCCTGAGGGGCTCCGACCACACAGCACAGTGTGCACGGGAGAGGCAAGCAGCTGCAGGGCGGGGGCCCGTGGAGCAGCGTGGGGAGCGGGAGCCGTGGCGGGGGCTGGAGAGCGGGGCGGAAGGAAGGGGCGGCAGCGCCAGGGTGGGCTCAGCCTGGCCCCGAGCCCCTCTGTGCTCTCTCACGGCCACCCAGTGACGGGGATTGGGCCAGACTTTCCTGCCTCCTTCCCTGGGGGCCAATGCCCCCCAGCCCACCGTGGCTTTTGGCCCTGCGCTGGGGCGTTCAGTCCCAACTCGGAAATCCATAACGCCCCTAGCAGCACTCTCAGCTGGCTCTGGGTGACCAGAGTCCCGACGGAAGTCTCGGCCCCACCTGCACCTCTGCTCATCAGAGAGGCCTCCTCTCGACCCCTGTCCCAACACCAGAACTCGATACTATTGGAAACTGCATTAAGTCTCTTGGGCTGCTGAGGTAACCCCTTGAACCTTCCGGCTCACAAAACACACTTCCGAAAGGCGGTGTGTAAGTCAGACACACCAAGTCCCTGGCGCTGCCCAGGACTGTCCAGGGGGCCGCCTTCCGTGGTCACTCCCACCCACGGCGTTGCCACACCGCGCTCTCACCCCGGCGGGGAGAAGCGGGGAGGCGTTACCTGGTGGTTTCTTTGCTCAAAGGCCCCCGCAGGGGAGGAGCGCCATTCCCCCACATCTCAGCTCCTGGGAAGGGGCTGTGTCCTAACAGCTCCAGCCAAGGCGAGGGCCCCTGAGGAGGCCCCGGGGGAGCTGGACTCTGCTCCCGCCACCACCCACAACCCACTCCGAGAGCCTTACGCGGCGATGGAGATGTTGGCGGCAGACATGGGGCTGACTTCAGCCACTTCTTTGGCCTTTTGCAGAGCAAGCTTCTGGTTGGCTGCTTCTTCCATCTCCTCTTCGTCCTGTTTGGACAGACAGAAATGTGTAGCTAGCCTGAGAGTGCTGTGTCCGCTCCGACGCCACCAGCTCCTCCGCCTGGAGCCTCTGAGTCCTTCCTGCCTCCTGAGCCAGCGGGGCCAGGAAGCCAGCTCCTGCCTTAGCACGACCCACCCACGCTCCAGACCGCCCTGCTACGCCCACCTCTGCAGGCAAGAGTCCCCAGGGTTTCTGTGCCAGCACCCCTTCCCAGGGCGCTCACAGCTGACAGCCCCACTCCAGAGCTCCAGCCCCAGGGACCCATTTCCACGTGTTAGTCTTTATTCCGTCAAAAGGCAAACCCACCCCTCCTTTATTCCCACCTGCTCCCCCGCCACCCAGAGCACTTGTCACACTGGAACGAAGTCACCTCTGCCCCAGGGTGCTGAGCCAGGGTGAGGGGCAGGCGCCCCACCCTGAGCCTGGGTCCCCGCCCTGCACCACCCACAGGAACCATCACCAGCAATGTGCCCAGCAGCGCCACCTTGCAGCCTTTGAGCTTTTCCACCTGTGCTCATCAGGGCACATCTGTCTACCTGTGACCATGCCTGGCCCTGTGTTCCCTTCCCCACTGAGTTCCTGGAGAGGAGTCCCAAGGCTCTCTGCCACCCGGGATAGCATGTGCTCATGTGTGCGCACCTGCGCAGACACCCCGCCCTGCCTCTACCCTCTCCATGGGAAGGGAGTGGACATCCAGACAGACCCTCCAGCCCTGACCCCATGTCACTAGACAAAACCAACATGATCTGCTCCTCAGATCTAGATAAACAGCTCTAGGCTGAGTCTACCAGCCCTGGGAGGGAAACCAGTCTCTGTGCCGTCCAGCTAGATCACTGGGACCACCCTTATATCCCCCACTACCCCAATCCCGGGCCCACCTGGCTCCCCTGGGAGCTGGCATTCCCAACATGTCCCAAAATGTCCTTGAATCTGCTTTTAGAGGCACAGTAATGGCAACTAAGCCCCCTATTAGCTGTCTGAAGATTTCCCACCATAGAGAAGAGACATTCAAACTTCAGGCCTCAGAGGGGAGGCAGAGCTAGACCCACCACAGAGCACCCTAGAGACGTCGTTCCTCCCGCTATGGGCTCCATCCTGGTTTACGGCCCTCAAATCACTCCAACTGGTGTTCTACAAACAAACTCGATGTGAGTTTATTTTCACTTCAAAATAAATGATGCTACCATATATTTGTGGGACTGTAAAGGAGGGAGTGTCCACCCTTTGGTCTCTTGGCCAGCCCAGGAAAGCCCCATAGCCTGACACAGACAGGCGTCCACCTGCCCCAACTCCCAAAGCAAGGAAATTCCTGAATTAGGGCAGTTTGCCCAAAGGGGCCACCACCTATGGTCTGTGCATGGACACAGGGCCCCAAGGACATGGCCTGTCAGTATGTCCTCACCCACTGACAGCCTTGAAGGGGCAGTGAGAGCTTTGAACTCAAGCTCACCCAGCCCAGCACGATGCTGCTGGGCACCCCTAGCTCACGTGGTCCGTAAATCCTGACCCCAAGAAGTGCTCTGTAGTTGCACGGGTCCCCCCAGCCAGGGGCTTGGGCCATTCTCCAGCCCCTCCTGAATGGCAAGGTTCAGTCTAGGAACTGGCTAACAACAGAAATGGGCACGCCAGTGGGATTCCCAACCCTCAGAAGCCAGCACCCAGAAGAAGGGAGGAGTCCAGACACACAGGCACTGCCCCAGCCCAGCTAGGGGGTGGGGGGAGGCACACTGCACGGGCTGCCCCCGTGGAGCACTCCTCGCAGGGAGCCGGGTGGGGCAGCAGGGCACCTGTACAGCGTGCGCTGTCAGGACCACTGTGGCACACCTGCATCTCTGTCGCCTGCCTTCCTCAGGGAAGGCCGGAGTCAAGCCCCAGAACGGGGACAGTGTTAGGAGTCTTAGGATGTGCTAGACTGGAGTGGGTGCAACACAAGTGGGAGGCTGTCAGGGACGGCGGGCGCGAGCGCACAGACACCCACACACGCAGGTGCACACACAGGCGTGGGCCCGGCGTACGGAGCAAGTATGCGCATGCCGGCAAGGAGCAGAGCCTGCTCAGAGCCCCTGACCAGCAGGAGTGCCCTCTGCACCGGGAGCCGGGCTTGTCAAAGCGCCAGCCTGAGGTTGAAACAGCGGGCTGCCTGCACTGTCCAGGGCAGAGAGGGTGACGGTAAGCAGGCAGGGGGTTGTGCCATCTGGAGGGAAACCACAGGGGAGACACGTGTAATCACGTCCCCCACCAGGCTCAAGGATGAGAGATGACTGTTAGACGACTCCCACTGGGTACAGCCTGGAAAGAAAGCTGTCCTGCTGGGGCATGGGCTTGCTGAGAACAGGCACTGACTGCTCCCCCAGCGACCGCCTGGCTCAACTCTGAGGACCGCGCTGCCCAGCGCCAGTCTGAGCTCAGCCCTGGAAAGAAAGCTGTCCTGCCGGGGCACGGGCTTGCTGAGAACAGGCACCAACTGCTCCCCCAGCGCCAGCCTGGCTCGACTCTGAGGACCGCGCTGCCCAGCGCCAGTCTGAGCTCAGCCAGCCACACCAGGGATGACCACAAGGGTCCCTCAGTGCCCTCTGGGGTCTTCAGACTGGATGGCCCCTAGCCCACCTCCTGATGCGTCTCGCTCCTGAGAGGACACAGCCCACTCCACACAGAGACCAGGGCAGCCCGGCCCCCATCTTCCAGGCCCCTCTCTGGTCTGCGCCATGTCATCCACCACCGGCTCCCACACCTCCTCCTGCCTTTCCAGTCATCCTTCCCAGGTCTCGGCTTCCCGGGAGCTGCCCTTGTGCCCATCTGCCTTCCCAGCATGCTCTTTCTGCCTACCTCCTCGGTGCCGTTCCCCACAGCCCTGCCTGTCCAGGGCCTGGAGGAAACACCCCTGGACGGCAGTCACATGGCCCTTAACCCAGGTCCTGGCCCTCCTCATGGCTCTGAAGCCGCATCCAGAGCGACACGGATTGACCCCCCACCCCACCCATACCTAGGCTGCAGGTGGGTCCCTACCTACACACCTTGGTCAGTTCCTGCGCGTTGGCAAGGTTGTCCACGGCGATGGCCAAGAAGACGTTCAGC